ACATTTTCAGAAAAATTGTTGTCAGGTACAACACAGAATATAAACTGTACAGTACCCACAGACCCCTGGCCCTGTCAGTGCCTCTCACTTCTGATCAACAGTCCCTTATCCCCACAGGCTCTGCCAGTGCCCCTCGCTCCCAACCTACAGCCCCCCCCATCCCCGCTGCTGCCCATCACTCCTGATCTGCATCCCCCTGGCACTGTCAGTGCCCTGCACTCCCCACCCAAGGTCCCTTGCCCCCCCAGGCTATGCTGGTACCCCTCAGTCCCAATCCACAGCCCCCTATCCCTGCTGTTTCCCCTCACCCCAAAATTTGGCCCACATAGAGCTTCCGGAGTTCAGCTTCTATGGGAGTTTCAGTGCTGCAGCTGAGGGTGACCTCGGCTGAGGGAGGGAGGTAGATGAGGGTGGGCAAGGTAGGGCACTTACCCCAGGTGGCCATAGCAGCAGCACATGTGGTGGGGAAGCCTGGTGGGGGCAGGTGGTGGCGCCAGCCTGAAGCTGTTGCTGGGTGTGGGGGAAATGTGGCCCCTTCCCCTCTCTGCTGCTGGGTCTTTCCTGCTTCAGCTGCCCAGAACCCGTGTCTGGGTTGCCCTGTGGCTCCTCTGATGTGCTAGCATTGCCCTGCTGAGCAGCCTAGAGGTGGCGGTAACAGCAGCAGAGAGGTGCCACAGGGCAGCCTGGGCACGGGCTCCAAAACACGTGTGTGATTAACAAATTTAAAAAAAATGAATGCATTAATTGGTTTTTGTTTTGTTAATCGTACACCTTAATGCAGATTCATTGACAGCCCTAATATGGGTGGGGGGGGATGTGTGTGTGTGTGTGTGTGTGTGTGTGTGTGTGTGCGCGTGCGCACATATGACTTTTCATCAGTCCCATGTAGTGCTGCTTTTCATATAGGTTCCCTATTAAAGTTCTTTTTACTATATATAGTTTTTCATATATAAAGCTTTTCATTTTATCATATAAATACATGGTGCCTAAATAGATGATGAAAAGCTAGATATAAATGTATATTTGATGAAAATCATGAGAGATAAATATACGAGGATTTGTGTGTGTGTGGGTGCTGACAGACGTGCAGCTCCCCCCAGTCTAACTTATGGCACTTCACAGAAAGCGCCATGAGTTAGAACAGCGCCCACCCCTTGACCCAACAGATGTTCACTGTTTGGTGGGAGGACTGAGCTCCGCTTTGGAGTTGATCCAGCTGAGGAGCTGCCTGCCTGCAGCCTCTCTCCCCTAGCCCTGTACCTCCTCCCCAAGCACTCCCCCAGTTCTGGTGCTGTCTACAGGAAGGGAGGGGAGATGGAGGGGGAGCATGCTGCAGGGGAGGAAGACAGGCCTTGGGGACAGAGGCTGGGGGCGCGCGGGTCACTAACTCATGCCGCTTTCTGTAAAGCGCCATAAATTAGAGCAGGGACCTGCATGTCTGTCAGCACCCGCTCCCACACACACCATCATCATCATCATCAATTTATCATATATGATTTTCATCAAATATAGCTAGGTAGCTGGCTAGATGGATAAGAAACTTAAATAGGGGTGTCACGGCGGGGTCCTACCGGAGGGCCGTGATCTCCTTAAGGCCCCCTCATCATGCCTAGTTGGCCCAAGGGCACCCTCTGTTTCTCGCCCTCCACGTCTTTGATGGTTTAAATTGGTTGGGAGGCTGCCTTACGCCCTCTGACATGTCTCTGTGTTTATTCGGACCCCGTGATTTCCTGGACTCCTTGTGGGTCTCACTGTATGATGGGTGCTTTAGGGGCACCCTAGCCTTAGGGGCTGTGCGTGGCTCCAACCACCCCTGATACCACGCCCCAAGCCTCGCAGATGGAATTGACTTTGGACTGTCACTCTCGCTCTACATACACTGCCGCCCCCCTCCTGGGCCTTCTCTGCACCGTCGCCCTCTCTCGGGGCCTTCTCTGGCACTGCTGCCCCCTTCTCTGGGGCCTTCTCAAGTGCTGCCCCCTTCTCTGGGGCTTGCCAGGCCCGCACTGGGCTTCTCAGTATAACAGCCCCCTCTCTGGGACTTGCCACGCCCACACTAGGGCTTCTCAATGAGGCACTCCCCTCTGTGGGCTTGCCACGCCCACACTAGGGCTTCTCAATGAGGCACTCCCCTCTGTGGGCTTGCCACGCCCACACTAGGGCTTCTCAATGAGGCACTCCCCTCTGTGGGCTTGCCACGCCCACACTAGGGCTTCTCAATGAGGCACTCCCCTCTGTGGGCTTGCCACGCCCACACTAGGGCTTCTCAATGAGGCACTCCCCTCTGTGGGCTCGCCACGCCCGCACTGGGCTTCTCAATGAGGCACCCCCCTCTCCGGGGCTCACCGTGCCCAACTTGGGCTTTCCAATAATATCACCCCCTTTCTGGGATTCGCCACGCCTGCACTGGGGCTTCTCAAAACACCCCTCTCTGGGGCTGGGGTCTAAGCACCCCGTAAGCTGCACCTTCCTGGGCGCCAGGGTCCTCACACTCTGCTGTGAGGCCCCTTTAAGGATACTGCACCCTCACTGGCACCGGGGTCCCCATGCTACTGTGGGTTCCCCCTGAGTACACTGCACCCTCACTGGCGCTGGGGCCCCCACACCACTGTGGGGTCCCTATGAGTATACTGCGTCCACTCTGGTGCTGGGGTCCTCACACTTATTTGTGAGGCCCCAATGAGGCCTCCTCCAACCCCTTATAGCCTCACCCAAACCACTGGTGTAATAAACAACAAAAAACCACAGAAACTAAAGCCTCCTGGCTATAACATAATGTAAAGCCGCCTGGCTAAACCACGTTGCACAAACGCCCTAGAGCTGCCATCTATAACTCTGCTCAAGCAGTACCTGCAGGTCTCGCTGCTTCTCATGTCCCTACTCCAGGAGCTTCTGCCTCGCTGGCAGGGAACTGCCAGCCTGGCCTCAGCCCTGGCCTTTATAAGAGCCAGCCTCTGCCTCCTACAGGCAGCTGACCGCTGGCAGGTGTGGGTCATTTGCTCCCTCCAGTTGCCCTGGCAACCCACAGGTGGGCTCCTATTCCCTGCTAGGGCTCCCTATGCACTGCCAGAGCTTTTCCTCTGGCAGTTTCTGCCCTCTAGGAGCAGGGCACCTGAGTGCTCTGCAACAAGGGGATATGTGTGAAAAGCAGCACTACATAAATGGGACTGATACCTCTAAGTAAAATATTTCTAAAGTACTTTTTGGCATGTGCTGATTCTGAGCACAGGACCAGTAATGATGATTGACAGAGCTCAGTTAATCAAGTTGTACTACCCTGCGTGATACCCCAAGAAGTGTTTGTTGTTCAGATGATGGTCTGATGTGGATTCCTGCATGCCCCCATACTTTCGCTTCTAAGGGTCAGCAGTTTTCTTAGAGTTACCAGTAGCAAATTTTCATACCCTTTGTCAGCTCAGCTGTCTGGTCTGTTTGTGATATGGCTAAAGCCTTTCTTCTATTCATTCCCCATCCTTTTTTTGTATCCAGTTTAGTGTCCAGAGTGAAAATCCAAAGGTATAGCTGGGAGGCTCCTATTTCCATATGTAGCCTTACACAGACTTATAGTCAAGTCACAATCTAGCCCTGTAGTACAGTGGTGTATTGCTATCTGTATTACAGGAGGTGGGTTTGGGACTCTTATGCTAGATGCTGTACAGAAAAGTAAATGAAACTTGTAGGACTATAATAATGCAACAGATGGATAAAATAGAGAAAACGGGATGCAGAGGGATGAAATAACTTAGGTAATGGTAAAACAAATGTAAAATAAATGGTTGCCTTATTTTGCCACTTTTTTATATGTTGGACACTAACATAGGTAAGTTGTCACCAAAGGTTGTCACCTTATTTGTTGTGATGGATGATTGTCATTGCTTTGTCTTTAAAATCTCTTTTTAGACATTGTTCTTCAATGTTTTGTCCCTTTCTCATGAGATTTGGCTTGGAATGTCCATCTTTAAGCATCAACATGAGATGAATTGTATACACAGTTCATAACCCATGTATCTTGTCAGGATCAGTAAAATCTCAGTGACAAAACAGAGTTCGAGCAGAAAAGCTTGGTTATTGTATTCCCATCCATTCCCCCTCAAGACCTGTTTTCCTACTACATAGAGAAACAGAAAACTTACTTTAGATATAAGTAATCTTATTTGTAAAGCCATTGTACTTATTGGACAGTATTATAGCTCCTGACTCTCAACCCTGTAGCAGAAAGAGAGGTGGAACTCCTAACTGTTAAAAGATGTACATTTTTTTTATTCTCAAGGGCAGTGCTTCAGTCAGAAATGTGATGGATGTAGATTTCTTATTTCTGATCACATCTGTCCATGGAGCTTAACCTCACTGCCTTTTGATTTTTCCATTCAGTAATTTTGTGAGCGTGGACAGCACCTTTTTCCTACTGTCTCTCTTTCCCACCTTCAAGGTACCACACTTTTGGAGGGAGAATGGGCCTTTGGTAACTTCTGGAATGCTGTTTCCAAGTGTTCCTTCTCTTTAGAGGGATTGCTTGTGATTTTCTTCAATCTGTTAATGTTCAAACCTACTTATAGAGTGGAGGGGAAAGAGGTGTAGAATTTTTTTAGGTTTTTTGTGGAGAATTAGATTATATCATGATTGACCATTAGTATTTCTAGAATAATACAGAGGCAGTTAAAG